TTTAGTTTTTTAAGGGTCAGTGAGGTTTTTTTTTAATAGACTTTACTGATTTTTATTTTTTTAGTTTTTTGCGGTACGCGAGCCTCTCACTGTTATGGCCTCTCCCGTTGCAGAGCACAGGCTCCGGACGTGCAGGCCCAGCAGCCATGGCTCACGGGCCTAGCCGCTCCACGGCATGTGAGATCTTCCCGGACCGGGGCACAAACCCGTGTCCCCTGCATCGGCAGGCAGACTCTCAACCACTGTGCCACCAGGGAAGCCCAATAGACTTTATTTTTTAGAGCAGTTTTAGGTTCACATTCAAATTGACAAGAAGGTACTGTGATGAACCCATACTGACATATAATCACCGAAAGTCCACTGTTTACATTAGGGATCACTCTTGGTATTGTACATTTTATGGGTTTTGACAAAGGTATAATGACATATATCCACCAATATAGCATCATACCAAGTAGTTTCACTCCCCTAAAAATTCTCTGTGCTCCCCCTATTCATTCTCCATTGTGTCACTTTTGTAATAAAAACATACAAATCTGGAAAGGAAAAGAAATAAAGATATGGTTTCTGCCCAGAAGGAGTTTACAGTCTGGGTGGTAAACAAGGACTCAGCCAGCCCTGAGATGGCTTAATTAACAGACAAACAATAAAATAACAGAATAAGGTCTGATTGTATATGTTCTGTGGGGTACAGAATGAAGAATTCAGTCTGAGTCGGGTAGGGTTAATCAGAGCAGAGTTCCTGGAAGAGGGCAATGAAAGGGCCAGGATATACAGTATATTTGGAAAATGGCCACCATTTATGAATTTTCAAGGTGCCAGACCCTGTGTCACGTATGTTTACATGGATATTTTCATGTATTCAGAATAACCCTATGAAGCAGATGTTATCCCCAATTTATGGATAAGAAAATTTAGCCTGAGAGAGCCAATTAACTTTTCAAAAGTCAAACAGCCAATACACCAAAAGGATGCAAAACCAGGCTTCTGTAATCCCAAACTCTGAGCTCAAGTCACCAGGCCACATTGCCTAAAGCGGCTGAAGGCAAAGAATGACCTTCTTCTCAGAGGAACAAGTAACTCGGGGAGCCCAAACTCAAATTGTGGCTGTAAGTAAATGCCATGAGAAAAGTCAGCATCACCCCCTTCCCTTTGGCTGAGCACATCTCAGCCCCATGGTCCTTGGAGAGTGCTTTGTAAGAAAATAAAGACAAAGATCCAGACTGTCTTTATCCCTGACAAGGTGCTTCCGTTGTGATGGAGGTGAAGAAGAACGTAGAAAGAAATGCCACATGGCACAGAGGTACAGAATGATATTTATGCCCCTATCATAAAGCCATGTGTGTTCTGTGGCAATTAACTGTGAATGCATCAGCCTTCCCACAAGCCTGTGGACTGCCACAGGGCAGAGCCCACCCCCCTGTTTGTCTGTATCCCCACAGGTTGGCCTCATGCCTGGCACTTAGCAGAGCTCCGTATTTGTGGAATGAATGAATGAACAAATGAATGAATGAATGTATAAAAATGTAAAAAGCTACGACTCTTATATGCTGGTGTCCTGATCCATAAAATAGGACCAACTGGGGGCTACCCTGGTGACACAGTGGTTGAGAATCTGCCTGCCGATGCAGGGGACACGGGATCGAGCCCTGGTCTGGGAAGATCCCACATGCCACGGAGCAACTGGGCCCGTGAGCCACAATTACTGAGCCTGCGCGTCTGGAGCCTGTGCTCCGCAACAAGAGAGGCCGCAATAGTGAGACGCCTGCGCACCGCGACGAAGAGTGGCCCCCGCTTGCCGCAACTAGAGAAAGCCCTCGCACAGAAACGAAGACCCAACACAGCCATAAATAAATAAATAAATAAATTTAAAAATTCACGACATATGTCAATATTTTAAAAAAAAATAGGACCAACTATAGTCCCTTCATCTAGGGATTACTGTGATCATTAAATGGGCAAATGGTGTAAAGGATTTAGTGTAAGATGTGTACAAGAGCACACACAATGTGATTGACGGTTCTGATATTAGCTATTAGCACTATTGTTATTTGTGTATCCTTTAAAAGCTGGTCCCTCAGGATACACACCTGTTAAGCCATTTATTGACCATTTTACTAACATCTTCAACAGGATTGGCAAGCAGAGTTACAAGTTTGTCTTCAGCAAGTATGCTTTCCTGCTCTGGATCCTGCCCACCTTTGCCACAGCTGTCTGTGCCTCCCCAGCCTCTATCCCAGGCCTTAACATGTCCTCATGGGTGGTGTGCCTACCTGTGCACACGCTCACCAGCATTTACCGTCCAGGGCGATTCACAAGGTTTCCAAGTGTTACCTCCCTCTCTCCACTTCCCCAAATTTATTCTCCAGTTTCCCATTTTTGTCAAGACCAGTTTAACTATGCCCTTTAGACTCAGTGACAGAAACAAGACCATCCCCCTGGGCAGAAACAACTCACCCCATCATGGGTACTAGGTGTTCACACGTCATATTTGCATTTCCACTGGGGCCTTCTGTCCAGTGTCTTATTCCAAAGGAGAATCTGGGACAGTGGGACAAAAACCTAATGGTGCAAGCCTTGTCACAAATCAAACCACGAGGTGGCGCCCTCATTGGCTCCCACCTAGAGCTAACCCACAGTTGAGAAGAGTCAGCATACTTTATGTATAGTTAGCACTTACCCAGATTATGGATAACCTTCTTTCCAAGTTAACCCCTCTTTGGTTTAACCCCACACCAGGAACTCTGGCCATCTCCCCCCAGCCACCACCCCTGCATTGCCAAGCAGAGAAGTTGGAGGCTCCCTGTAACGACAAGCCGAAGCTCAAATAATCAAGAAGGGCAAGTGCTACAGGGGGGAAACTCAAGGGCAATACAAAATAGGGATTCTTATGGCATCTATGCCACAACTGTGGGATCTGCAGCCACTTTCTGGGTCTCGGTGTCTCCATCTGCCAAGCGAGGAGGTTGGACTTCATGATTTGCTAAGATTTCTCCCATTCAGATGTTCTTCCTTCAACAAATGGATTCAAAGGTGATCCCAAAGACCAGGCCCTCAGGAAGCTCACAGTGTAACAGAGGAGATAAGACAGGAATACAAAAGTCACTGTACTGCAGGTGGAGTGGCTGGCTTAGGGACATGGTTTGAAGTTACGAAATGTTCTGTAAAGTATATTTGCATTTTTTAAAGCATTTACATACATATATACAACAGGAAAAAAATCTGAAAGTTTATGTACCAAAATGTGATGTCTCTGCATTATGGGTGTGTGTGCTTTTAAAATATTTTTTCTTTCCTTTTTGCTTTTTAATAGTTTCTTATTTTTCCACAGAGGGTATGATTAATAGCATTAAAAACAAAAACAAAAAATCACGTTTCATAGTCAAACAGAATTGAGTTTAAATCCCAGCTATATTACAAACATGCTACGTGGCCTGGGGCAAGTCATCTAACCTCTCCAAGTCTCAACTGCCTTGCATTTAAAATGGAATTGTTTTTAACTTAATATTGCCATTAAATGCTTTGGGACCTCAAATTCACAGGGATGAGTTAATCATGTTTCCCAATTCATAGCACCTCATTGTCATCGATCTAAGCCAGGCCTCTCTCTTACTTTATTGATTTATTTCCTTTTATTCCCATCCCTTATTCCCCTTTCCCTCTGCCTCACCCTTAGGCACCCATTTTGTATTTGATATGTATAATATTTTTTAACTTGAAAATGTTTTTGAAAATGTGTGTGGTTGGTTGTATCTTATAACAAAAGATATTATGCTATAAATCTCATTGTTTCCTACTTTTTTCACAAAGAACAATGTATTTAAGATCTTTCCATATTGCTTTTTGGACATGTCATCCAGGACTTCTAAGTACTGCATAATTGCTGTGCTATGCATGTACTCCACTCTACCTTTCCATAATTCCCAGTGAGGGGCACCCAGGTGTTTTCCAACTCTCTGTCACCATAAACACCACCCTGAGCATAGTTGTACATGGCCCCCGATGGACCTGTGTGAAAATTCTTTGAGAGCTCTACCCTGGAGCAGAATTGCTGGGTCAGGAGGTATCTATATTCCTAATGGGATCAGAAGGTCTTCACAGCCTCTGCCTCCACCAGCAGGAGACTTCCCATGTCTCCACACCCTTGTCTGTACTTGGCACTATCGAGTTTTCTAATTTTTGCCAACCTAACAGATGTTCTATCACTCTGTGGTTTTCACTTTATTTGACTGCCTAATAGTTTGAGCATCTTGGCATATGCTCATTAGACCTCGGGTTTCCTATTTTGTAAATTGCCTGTTCCTTTTCTTTGCCCACTATCTACTAGGAATGCTGTCTTTTTCTTGTTGACTTTCAGGAGTCCTTATATATTCTAAATATCAATCCCTTGTCTGTCTTAGACATTGTAAATAATCTTCTCCCATTCTTGCCCCATAGTTTATCTTTTTGAAGTGTTAAGCTGTTTTTCTTCACCTCTCCATCAATAAGGTCATCCTTTACCTTGTCTTCTTTTACCTTATAAAGGTTTACCTTTCACCTTTAGGTCTTTAATACATCTCATATTTGCCATGGAAATACTTCATGGCATTTTGTGAAGGATAAAATAATACAGGTAAAGCGCCAGTACAGTGCCTCAGACCCAAGAGCTGTACCATTGTGGGTGATTATTATTATCATTTGAGTAGAAAGTGGTAAGCACTGCCCTAGGAAATCTAGAGATAACGGGAGTTTGAATGCTGTTTTAGCTAGATCAGAAAAGATTTTATGGGCAAAGGTTAAGTGATGGAGATTGGCCTGAAAAAAGAATGTAGGAGTCATTTATTTTGAGATGTAAAGGGCAGTATTCCAGGTAGAGGAACTGGCCTGGGCAAAGGCCTGGAGGCAGGAATGCCACAGGTTGACAATGTTTGGGCCGATCACATCGAAGAGAGGGGTCTGACTACTCACCAACTGCTGTCTGTCTTTCTGCCCATACCCACCCCACCCCTTTCCCCCTGCAGGCTCCCTGTTCTCCACCCTGAAGCCCCCCGACGCCGTGTTCAAGGTGGTGTTCTGGCTGGGCTACTTCAACAGCTGCCTCAACCCCATCATCTACCCGTGCTCCAGCAAGGAGTTCAAGCGCGCCTTCGTGCGCATCCTCGGGTGCCAGTGCCGCGGCGGCCGCCGCCGCCGCCGTCGCCGCCTCTTGGGCGGCTGCGCCTACACCTACCGGCCGTGGACGCGCGGCGGCTCGCTGGAGCGGTCGCAGTCGCGCAAGGACTCGCTGGATGACAGCGGCAGCTGCCTGAGCGGCAGCCAGCGGACCCTACCCTCGGCCTCGCCGAGCCCCGGCTACCTGGGCCGCGGCGCGCCGCCGCCCGTCGAGCTGTGCGCCTACCCCGAGTGGAAGGCGCCTGGCGCCCTCCTGAGCCTGCCCGCGCCCGAGCCCCCGGGCCGCCGCGGCCGCCACGACTCGAGCCCGCTCTTCACCTTCAAGCTGCTGGCGGAGCACGAGAGCCCCGGGACCGACGGAGACGCCAGCCACGGGGGCCACGAGGCCGCAGCCGACGTGGCCAACGGGCAGCCCGGCTTCAAAAGCAACATGCCCGTGGCGCCCGGGCAGTTTTAGGGCCCCGCGCACCGCTTCCTTTCCCTGGGGAGCCAATCATCGTGGGGGGCGGGCGGGCGGAGGGGGGGAAGGGAGCGTCGGCGCCCGGTAGACACGGGCCCCACGGGGAAGCGGGGGGAGGGGGGCGGGGAGAGGGGCAGCTGCTTTTCTGGCAGGGGCATGGGTGCCAGGTACAGCGCGGAGAGCTGGGCCGAGCATGCTGAGAGCCTGGGAGACCCGACGCCAGCCGGGATTTCCGTCTCTCTCTCTGTGTATATATCTAAACGAGTTCTTCTGTACATGTATTTAACCGTGGGTGCACGTGTGTCTGTGCGGTGTACGTGTGGTCTGCGTGTGTGCGTGTGTGTGGCCGCCCGCGCGGGGGCAGAGCGAGTGGGTGCCCAGGAGGCACCCTGGGCATTGTTTGTCTCGTGACTTCGTACCTCGCAAGCCCCTCCTGTACTTCACTGAACGGTGGCACTCTGGCGGGGTTGGAAGCAAAGTCGGACATTAAAGGTCATTTCTTCTGTGCGGCTTTGAGTAGTTTGTGAACGGGGTGGCAGGCAGATCTTGAGTTGCCTTTTCGTTCACATTAAGGTGTGCCCCTGTCTCTCCCGCCGGCCCTGTGGGCAGTGATTGTGCCGGCCCCCCCTTGACCCCGTTTCTGCCTTTGCCATTCCTGCCCTTCAGGGCTAAACAAATCTGACCCTGTGGCCGAAAGTGACGCCCTGGACTTGTCCCATAAATCCTTCCTGCCTGCTTTTGACCGTTCCCATATCCAAATCTTCCTGCTGTGGGCAACATAGGGCAATGTCTGGCCTGGCCCTGATCCCCAGGACCCCGATCCTAGTTGGAGCTACCAGGCCAGCACCCTAGGTGGGCCTGTCACCTGTGAGGGGACTGGTCCCTTACCTCCTCCAGCATCTTCTGACCAAACACTGCATTATTTGCCTGTGCCCATGGAACCTGAAAAAGAGAGCCAGACTGCAGAATTTTCTGGACAAGATAAGGATCCATATGTCAATGCAACACCTATGGGCACAGGAACCCTCCTAAGCTCGGCTAACTGGCCAGCCTGCCTGGGAAAGAAGCACTGAGGAAAGTCACGCAGAGAAGAGGAGCATACCTTGAAGAAGGTAACTTCCGTTCTAGTCTCAGCGCTGCTACCAATTTACTCTGTGACCTTGAGAAGGTCACATCTCTTCTGGATCTTGGTTTCCCATCTATGTAATGACAAGATTGATTCTAAGGGGCTTCCCTGGTGGCGCAGTGGTTGGGGGTCTGCCTGCCGATGCAGGAGACACGGGTTCGTGCCCCGGTCCGGGAAGATCCCACGTGCCGCGGAGCGGCTGGGCCCGTGAGCCGTGGCCGCTGAGCCTGTGCGTCCGGAGCCTGTGCTCCGCAACGGGAGAGGCCACAGCAGTGAGAGGCCCGCGTACCGCAAAAGAAAAAAAGATTGATTCTAAGGTCTTTTCTGCCTCTAAAAGCCACCAGTTTGCTAAAAGAATAATGGATAGGGAACAAAAGAGGGAGCATTTTTCTTCCCTGAAATTAAAAAAAAGAACCTAAGAGGAAAACCCCCACCCCAGTCCCTTTCTCTTCCTGCTTTGCTTTTTCTAAGTTGAGATTCATTAATTTTTCAAATGGTGAGAGCTTCTCCCAGTAATATTAGCACATCAGTCATTTATTCTATAGGCGATTGAAATAGAAAATCCCTTAATGGGGGAGGGGCAGTCATTCATTTAGCTGAAAAGTGTAGGGGTATCAGGCATGGCTGGATCCAGGGGCTTAAACAGTATTGTTAGCTTGCTCACTGGCTCTTATCACTCATCTAGCTCCCATCTTTTGCTCTGCTTATCTTTATATGTTACACTTGTTTCCTTTCTGCAAATAGCTTTCTCACACCATTCTTACAACTTGAGCCCCCCTCCCCAAGGAGAAGTAAGATTTCCCAGCATATCTGCCAAAAAAAGAAAAATAAAGAAAAAATCCAGAGAAGCTAGATGTTCTGTATCACAGACCCCTTTGAGACTCTAATGAAAGCTATAGATATACCTTCCAGATAAAAAAATGCACATACAAAAAAATTACATTTTCATACAATTTCAAGTGACTCACCTCTGTTTAAGATCCTATGAACTAAGCATGATACCCCAGATTCACTAGTTATTTGAAAAAACAATGTTCAGAATTATCTAGGCCAATCCCCTCATCTTTACAGATGGAGAGACTGAGGTAAATAACTTGCCAAGTCACACTAACCTAGGACTAAGACCTGGATCTGCTACATCCCTGTGAAGTACATTTTCTCCTCCCTTGTGCTGCCATCTTGGGGTTGAGTATATCCTCCAACAGAAAGTAGGTTTCTTCTTGCTGCTGTAGAGAAAAGAGAGTCCTAGGGAAGGAAGAGCCTGCACCCAATTCCCAGAGAAGAAGGAACAGTTTGGGATAGTCCTCTGGAAACATTTGCTTAACAACACAAGTCTTTCAAACAAGTCTGACACAGAATCCTGATACAAATGCAGTCTGCAGTGAAGTGAGGAAAAGAGGACAGAGCCTCGCCCCCTTGGCCTCCTCCTCCATGTCTTCAGCCCCTTCCCCTCACCTGCCCCAAGCATCTGAGGGCTCCACGGCGTGAAGTTTGAAAATCCCTGGTGAATGGGACTTGGAGTCAGTAGGACCTGGCTTCAAGTCTTGGCTCTGGGTGACCTTGGGCAATTTACCTGCCTCTTCTCATCTGTTTCTCCATCTATCAAATGGACATGACCTTCACAGCCTAGCAGGAAGCACAAAGGATTCGATGAGATCACTGTGGCATAAATACTGAACTGTGAATCACTGGGCAAATGCAAGTTGTAATTTGGACTTCAGATATCTGAAGCCACAGTCACCAAAGGTATTTCCTGAGGTGCTCAGTTACAATGACCTCACACATTACTCATCCTTGGAGGCCACCCAGGCAGCACAAAGAAGCAGTGGCAGCCTCCTACCTCTTTCCAGAAGGAAGGTTGGCCAAGCAGTGGCTCACATCCCTGTAGAGGGCTAGGTTCCATTTGTGCCCCCAGCCAGGGCCTGCATTATGCTGACCTCTCCAGGCTGCCTCACTGTGGTCTATCTACCCCAAGGAAGGCCTCGAGTTCCTCAGGAGCCCTTGGAGTGAACATGTCCTCTCTGCTCTGACCTCACAACTGGCCACAAAGCAGCCTACTTTATCATCTCTAACTACCCAAATACTGCTGGGTCGTTTGTCACCCCTGAGGCATGCACAGGGATACATCTTTACACCAACCGAAGTAAAGAAGGAAGTGGCTTGGCAAGGGTAGTAGTTAATCCTGCAGCTCTGGGCTCAAATCCCACTCCTGCCATGGGTTCTAAACCTCAGTTTCCTTAACTGTAAAATAGGGATAATAATAGTACTTATGTCATAGGGGCATTAGGAGGATCAAATGAGATCATGAGGGTAAAAATGACACCATGCCAGTCACCTGGAGAACATCCAATAAGTGGTAGCTATTTGCAGAGGTATTAGTTATTTAATTCATTACTTTGATATATGAAGTTTAAAAAATCTGAGTAAAAAGACAAAACAAATTTGGTACTATTCATCAGATATCAGGGTTTTAGGACTCAGGGTCCACCTTGAAGAAGAAAGACACAAGTTTATGACAGAGTAAAAGAATTTTATGTCTTACAGCATGAAAAAACATTACTCAAGATGATCATCAGCCCAAACTAAAAGGAAAAGTGAAATTTAATCAGATAATGTTATAGAACATCCTAGAGTGACAAAGCCAGAATAGGTGTGTGAGAGAAGTCTGGATGTCTTAGGGATAGTGCATCCCGTGACGAAGTAGTGGGAGGAGGGGACACAGGGCTGCTCTGAGCATGTACCTGGGTTCAAGGCCCAGCTCCACTGTCTGAACCAGCTATTGAGGCCTGAGGCTGATTGCCCTGTGTGGAAATAGGGGATGTGGTTAGCACTGACCTCACAAGGTTGGGATGAGACAACATATGAAAGAGCTTGGCCCAGACTGGGCATTGTTTTTATTACCTGTGGGCTAACTTACATATCCTCCTTTCCCGCAGTTCTCAACTTTCTTAAACCAGAAGCTCCTTTAAGAATCTGGTGAAAACCAAAGAAAAGTAAGCATAACAGCCCAAATGTCACCTACAATTCATGCCCCCCAAATCTCCCAACAGACATATGGAACCCATAAACTTTTCAACAGATTTTACTCCCTTGATATACAGAAGTAGCCAAATCCAGAGAGAAATATACACACGAGACATGCTAGCCCTCAGGGAGCCCAGCCTGGATGAGAGGTGGGCAGGTCACCAGGGAATTTGAGTGTGTGACAGGAGTTGGGCGTCTACCACCACCCTCACTTGGTAAGACCCCAAGTGTCAGGCTCCATCTTCCATTTGGGGCATGGAGGTGATGGATAAGTGCCCTGGGATCTTGGGAGTGGGCTGCATGGGACCTAGGCAAAGTACTGAGCATCACTCCTCCAGATGAAGAACAGGCCTCCTCCTGCCTGCTGTCACCAAGAGGTTCTCACCAGATGCCAAAAAGTAGAACAGCAACCACTCCTCAGCTCAAATTAGGGGTTGACTTCCACCCAGCCCTGGAAACAGACATGGCAGCCTCTAGCTATCCCACCTCCTCTCAGCAGATTCCTTCAGTACGGTCTTCACCTTACCCCCCGAGTCCATGGAATCTTTATTTAGTCTGGCTAAGGGTGAGAGTCAGGATACAAAGGCATGGCTGGGTCAACTTAGAAGAAATTGAGTCCTTCCACAGCCTTCCCACATTACACCTGGACCTGCCTTCTGAAACTCAAGAACCAAGCATTGGCCATGTTTTTCTTTGGCTTCCCCTGGAAAACCTTTCCCTTAATCAATGGGACTAAGCTGGCTTTCCCTTAGTCAATGGGACTGGCTGGCTTGGCTACAGTCAGAGCCTCAGTGTATGAGTTAGTTCGCTGAAGTGTGGGTGTTGGGAGGTGGGGAGGGGACAGATGTTCAATCTGCTCCCATTCCTGCTCTAACCTCTCAGCCCTCTCCTTCCCCGCTCTGCTCCAGCCACGCTGGCCTCTGCTGTTCCTCAAACTGGGGAGCCTGGCTCCCCACTCAGGGCCTTTGCACTTGCTGGCCCCTCTACCTAGCTCTCCTTCTCTCCACACGGCTTCCTCCCTCACCTCCTTTGCATCTTTGTTCAAGGGTCACCTCTCAGGGGTCATCTGATTCCTCTGACTGTCCTATTTAAAACTGACCTCCTCACTGCCCACATCATCTAGCCCCTCCTATAGCCCTTTCCCACTTTTATTTTCTCCATAGCACTTATTGCTCCCTAGCATGCTTTATATTTTATCTGTTTTTATGTTTTTTTGTCTGTCTCCGCATGCACACTAGAAATACAAGTTCCATGAGGGTGGGGATATTTTTTCTGTTTTGTTCAGCATTGTATCCTCAGCATCTAAAGTAGTGCTTGCCACCTGGTTAAGTGTTCGAATATTTTTGAATGAACGAGT